ATTGTCACTCTAGCACCCAAATGCTTTTCGAAAAATAAGCAACTTCAACACTCTTTTCTTTGCGATTTTATTGTAGTGTTCGCTAGCAAGAAAGTGTCCCAGCAACGGCCTCATTAACGACAAAGAGCTGTGAGAGTGTCACCTAAGGCACCTTATACAGAGTCACAAACCCAATAATTGTAGCCCGTGGTTAATGGTCGGGACTGACATTCAGTTGGTTGTCTCAGCATCAGTGCATTTGGCGCGAGATGGTCGACGAACTTTCGCTAAGGGCTTCAACTCCAGAGGACTGGTCGGAGCTGGAACTCGAATTCGAAGATGCAAATGACTACTTCGAAAATGATGCAGGAGATATGGAACAGGTATGTTTTCTTGAGTGCTTCTAGAGAACACATTGAGACAATTTAGCTGTTTTCCTAAAATTGTGGAATTATTAGTTTTTTTAATCTTTCGGAAGGGAACTCAAGCATTACCAGTCTATGCTTATACCACATACACAAAGGCGAACCAAATAATAAGGAAAAGTTAAAGAACAGCTGTTTTCTGTTTTTCAAGAAAAAATATGGCGATAAATTTTAGCTCTTAATCGTTCCTCAGCAAAATTTTAGACTTGTTTTGCTCCGAACAAAATAATTTCCTGTGCAAGTTACTGCCATTTTCATTCATCAATCCCTTATCCAAAAAATTGTTGGATGCAGGAAGATGGGAAAGCAGAAGTGTAGTCTTTGGCCGATAAAAAGTCAACAACGTGCTTACGCGCACGGGAACACTTTGTCAAACTCATCCTCGTTCCGGCGTTCCAGATGGGTCCCGGTCTTTGTTCTGAAAACAACTGTTCCTACTTCCTTCGCACTTATGGAAAGTGCCAGCAAATCAGACTTAATTTCGATTTTGGAGTTTTTATTATGTTTGGTAGGCGATTGAGCCAGTAAATGATATTTTTGGTGAAGTTTTTTGAATTAGCATTTTTTTAGTTATCGTGACTGATATGGGCTCTAGAAAAAACTGCTAGTTTAGAGTTGCTAAAATATTCTAACAGATGCCGCTAAAAGTGACTCCTACACAAAGAACCATATCACATTTATACATAGCTTTCTCGTTGCAAACGAGCTCCTCTGGCTTTGAAAGAGGAAAGAAACAAACATTCCAGGACGAAAAAGAATACATCACTGATAAAAGGCATATTCCAAGATATCTGGGCGAATTAGATAAAATGTCTTTAGGGACATACCAAAAAGTAAAGGTGAAAAAACCGCTCTAGTATGTAGCTGTTTTTAACTTTAGTGCAACACAATTTTGATGGGAGTTGTACTTTCGAAATTTTGCAGAGGTTCAACTGGTCGTTCTGATTATTTTTGTTACAAATGTGCCAGCTGAACCTCTGCAAAACTCGAAAAAGAGATCAAGAAGGTAGTTGGATTTGAAGTTAGGGCTAGTATTGTTGTGAAGCTCACTGCCTATTAGGATTTTAACTCAAGGAAATCCTTTTTTTTGGAAAGTTCCTCATGCCATGTGCTGCTGTCTAGTACATGGATCAAAGCCTGCGACCGTAACTTTTCTTTAAAAATACATTGCAGAAGCAAGAAGTAGTACCACAAAAGGAAAACTTACCCAAACCTACGTTCGAGCAGTGCACCTTGGATTATGGTCGAGAGCTAGAGCGGCAGATCGACAAGATCCAGCAGGAGCCTCGTCCACCGTTCGAGACGGTAAAACATCTCCAGGAAAGACTCGAACGTGAAAATGAACTGTACAGAAAGCAATTCGCTTGGCAAATGGAAAATAGTAAGTCTTAGGAATTTCACACTGTCTATTTCGGTGTCAAAATGATTTCGATTTCAGTGATTCGCTTTACCACCAATGCTCAGTGACTATCACAATGGGATCTGATATTTGACTCATATTTTCAACGCAACAATTTTTGAACTTCTTTTAGTATCTTCGATAGCTATTTCCTTTTATGAGCATTTGTGTATTGCGATATTAAATTCGTATTGTTATCATTCTATTTCATCTTTTTTTTGTCAATGATCTTGCTCATATGATCTTTCTATTACTGGTACATTATTATTTTTGCTTTAACTATATTGTCTTATTATTATTGAGGACATTAATATGAGGAAAATGTTTGGAAATTTCTCATGATATCAGCAGGTGAATAAACATGGCAAAAAGACCTGTATGAACCAAGGAAAATCGAAACCAGCATGCGAAACACTGGGCAATAGATATTGAACAAGATACTAATGATTCACTACTGCTAATTTCACTTTATAACTCTTGA